GCATACAATGAACTTCTTAACCTACAATTTTAACCGAGTAAGATCAAAGCGAACTCTGAACAAAAGACATTCTATTAACTGAAGGCGTTCGAGAAACAAAGAAAAAGAGAAAACAAAAAAGAAAATATTTTAAAAAGCATCCATTTATTTCCAATAATTGACCGGTTACGCAATTATTATTTTTTTCGCAAAATCAGATGAAATTTATTTGATAGGGCATTGATCAGTCAGGACAAAAACCTTTAGGCAGTTTGGTTAATTAAAACGATTCCTTGTTTGTTAACAAAATAAATGGTAATCAGTGCCAGGAGCTTGTTAGTTTTCTTTGATGCTGTAACATCTGTACCTGAGTATAGTAACTTTTTACTTTCTTTTTGACCCCAAATAATTTTCTAGCGTTCTCGAACATTTTTATAAGTTTTCAATCGGCATCCTTGTACTGAGCCTAAAGAGATTTTTACGTGAATGGACTTGGCAAAGCAGTTTTTAGATTGGGCCAAAGATGGTCGAAAAAATAGTCAAAGATGGTCAAAAAAGAGTCAGCATTCTGTTGCACATATTTCAATCTGCTACAGGCGGTGAAATTTTAATTCATATCAGGAAAATTTTACTTTAATATCAGAAAACTATTCAGAGCTTAAATTGGGAGTTGGAACTAATAAAGACCATCAAGTTAGTAAAATAGGATTTTGAAATATTTTTCCCAAAAGTTTTTCCAAGTTGTAAAGTTGTGATTTATAATGAACTTTGATGTTGTTTCTGCACAATCCAGTTCCATTCAAGCGAAGCTCATTTATGATAGTCTTGCAAAAAATGCAATCAAATTAAATTTGACTTAACTAGCGAAGCAGTAGATGCTGGGTTATCGCAATTTGTACTGTATTTTATAATTCACAATGTGGTGAAGTTATTAAATTACTGCATCTTCTTCATTAGTAGACACTACACCATGCTGTGAGGCATAATGCTATCAGCTGAAAGAGAATTCTTGAGAAAAACAGGAATATGTTATATTAGTCGTTTTTGAGTTTTTGATTGAACGTAACACATTATATTAAAAAAGAAGTTTATTTAAACCAACCAATTTCTTTTATGAGCTCTCTCAACACACAATAAAGATCTTGTTTTAAGAAAAAAACTTTTTGCGCCAGAGGCAGTTTTTGAAAAAAGGCCAAAAACAACATCTTTAGGCACTTTTTGGAATGTTTTGGCAAAAAAAATCGTTTTTACGGTGCACGCTAAATTTGCTACTGAAAAGAGCAAAAAGAGCCCACATTTCTTTACGTAGACAACATTTTTGACCTCTGACTTTCTTCGATGCAGTATGTCATTAGACAAGTTTCGTTATTTTCGTCGACTCCGAATCACTGTCTATCCGTAGTTTATTCGCGATGATGGCACAAGCAAGCAACTAGGCGTCAAATAAATTCATAAGGCGATTTTTCATGGGTTGGGTGACAAGTCGTAACAACGACAATTCGTAACCAGCGACAATTCGTAACAAAGGCATTGGCAAATAGAATACGCTTGCTCCGCTGTGCTTACATTCGGCACGAGAGGAGTATTTTGCGTGAATTAGCGTTCCCCGCTTAATTCAATAAATTGACAAGTCCGAAGAATTGGAAAATACAGAGCGTGTTTCATAGTTGATACATTTTCCTAGTTTGGAAATGGTAAGAGCAATTATCGCCCGTTCAATTACTACGCTCTTCATTTTCAGGGTCTTTTGGGCTTTCAGTGCCAGATTAGGATAAACCAAGTAATAATATAGTATTTGTCTGGATCATACTGTTTATAATTCAGAAGAAAATGTCACTCACTAGTAAGAATTACCATCTTATGCTAAACAAAGATTTCCGCGGCCGCAGTTTCATGAACCAATAGAGATTTTTGTGGTGTAGTCCATTAATATTTAAACAGTTTGTGCTCCAACTTCGAATATTTTTGCTCAATTTTTCTGCAGACAAGTTTTGAATGTCTAAATGTTAGTTTGCATGACCACCAACTGG